TATATTGCAATATAATATTCAATGCAACATACTTGGTTTGGTTGGTTGTTTTCTTTTGTTTGGTTAGCCAGGGTCTACGAGCCTCCGAGTTGAATACCAAATTGTTTGTGGGTAAATCACTTTACCTGATTCATGTTTCATTTTGATCATTTAATTAAAAAAATTTATTATTAAGTTATGTCTATTTTGATTATTCGATTGTTACGTGTCTAGCGTCATTTAATTTTTTTATTGTCAAAAAAGTCTCTTGAACATCCTTTTCAAACTCTATTTGATTCATTGATATTTAAGTTATTCTCTTTCAAATTCGGATTATGAGCAAATTTAAAAGGAAGAAAGTAAAGTATATCTCAGTTTTACGTTGATCAAATAATAAAGATGGTATATCATAATAAGATTAATTGAAACATTAATTTAAATTTTATCGATCCTCGAAAGAATTTTAAAAAAATCAAAATAAGAATAATAACAAAGAGATAAAAGAGAACGCGTTGAGACAATTTACATAATAAATTATGATAATCTATAATTGAACGTCGATAAAGAAGTATTTTAGCCATTAAAAGAAAATTAAAATTTTAAGAAAAAATAAAAAATCACAAAACAAAACACAACGAATTCGTAAGGTTGTTAAACACTTCGTGATAATTGATCAAAACATAAATAATTTAAAAAATTAGAGATAATAAAATTTAATAAAAAATAATTTACAGAAATAAAAGCATTTTGATTTTTGATTCAATTCCATTTGGGGAGTCTTGGTAGTATATAAAAGAAGAGGAAAAAAGTGTTCACACGGGATCCCGCGTTGCCGCCGCATTCCAAGTGGCGCACAGCTAGCTTTCGCTTATCGCCGACTAAAACGAAATCACAACCGTTGACCTCCCGAAACCACACCCTTATCATAAAAATCTCACTAGCAATCATCAGAAAGTCAAACTCAGAGCCCAAAATCAACACAAATGCAGTGAGTGAGAGAGTGCCGTTGTGTTTTGGCCGTTATTTCCATTTTCTTCCCTTTTTTTGGACCGTTTGATGCGCCGGTGATTAATAGGAAAGATGCCGAATCCCCGTACAGCAAGAAGCGGCAGCGGAGGAGGTTTTGGATTTACAATTAGATTATTGGCTTCTGCAATTACTGTTGCAATCTGTTTCTTCTTTGCACTATCGTTCTTCTTCACTTCCAGCACTCACTCTCCTCATCTCCAAACCAACTTTGTAAGTTGTAACTGACTTTCTCCTTATTTTTAACTGAAAATTTAACTCGATTCCCCCCCTCCCCCCAAAAAAAACTCATTTTGTTATTTAAACGATTAATTAAAGAAGGAAAGTACACGAGAAATAAACATTGCCAGAATGACTGATGGAACAGTGTCGTTCCTTTGTGTTTCTAGGGTTTCTCCACTGGTTCCTTTGGAATTGGATCCACGAGGAGGTCCGTTTTGGCAATTAAATCGGATCCGCTCAAGCCCCGACTGGATCAGATCCGGAAGCAAGCCGACGACCACCGCTCTCTTGCCCTTGCCTACGCCTCTTACGCTCGGAAATTAAAGCTCGAAAACTCAAAGCTCGTCAGGGTTTTCGCTGATCTATCACGAAACTACTCGGATCTCATTAACAAGCCATCTTATCGGGCTCTCTTTGAAGCCGATTCACTCTCCATTGACGAGTCGGTGCTCCGGCAGTTTGAGAAAGATGTCAAAGAGCGGATTAAAGCCACCCGCCTAATGATCTCGGAAGCAAAGGAATCTTTTGATAACCAACTCAAGATCCAGAAATTGAAAGATACGATCTTTGCCGCCAATGAGCAGCTGACAAAAGCGAAAAAGCAAGGCGCATTTTCCAGCCTCATTGCTTCCAAATCAATCCCTAAAAGCTTATATTGTTTGGCAATGAGATTGATGGAGGAACGGATCGCACATCCTGAGAAATATACAGACGAAGGGAAGCCGATTCCTCCTGATTTTGAGGACCCTAAGCTTTATCATTATGCCATTTTCTCCGATAATGTACTTGCAGCATCCGTAGTGGTCAATTCAGCCACAAAGAACGCCAAAGAGCCATGGAAACACGTTTTCCATGTGGTGACTGACAAGATGAATCTCGGAGCAATGCAGGTTATGTTTAAGTTGAAAGATTATAATGGGGCACATATTGAAGTTAAAGCAGTTGAGGATTATAAGTTTTTGAATTCATCTTATGTTCCGGTGTTAAGACAACTAGAATCGGCAAATTTGCAGAAGTTTTACTTCGAGAACACGCTTGAGAATGCCACTAAAGATACGACTAACATGAAGTTTAGGAACCCCAAGTATTTGTCTATCTTGAATCACTTGAGGTTTTATTTACCCGAGATGTACCCCACATTGCATAGGATCTTGTTTTTGGACGATGATATTGTTGTGCAAAAGGATTTGACAGGGTTGTGGAAGATCGATATGGATGGGAAAGTGAATGGGGCGGTGGAGACTTGCTTTGGGTCTTTCCATAGATATGCACAGTATATGAATTTCTCAAATCCTTTGATTAAGCAGAAGTTCAACCCCAAGGCTTGTGCTTGGGCTTATGGGATGAATTTCTTTGATTTGGATGCTTGGAGGAGGGAAAAATGTACAGAGGAATATCATTGCTGGCAGAATCTGGTAAGCTTTATTCGCAACTCTTTAGTTGTTTGATTGATTTATTATGCCATGCTTGTGCTATTTTTGGTGCTTGATTTATGCTTATTGGATGCTGCGCCTGCAACCTTTTTTCATAGTCTAGCTCGTAGCTTGATTGTCCTCTTTCAAAGCTTAAAGCATATGAAATGAGAATAAAACTGTGGACATGCCTGCAGTAGTTGTTCTTTAGGATGTTGAATTATGTTGTTCTTTGTGGCTTCCTGTGGAAATTTATGGATGCCTGGATTTTGCAGAACGAGAATCGGACTTTGTGGAAATTGGGAACATTGCCTCCCGGTTTGATCACATTTTACTCCACAACGAAACCGTTGCACAAGTCTTGGCATGTACTCGGACTCGGCTACAATCCAAGCATTAGCATGGATGAGATTGGCAATGCCGCGGTGGTGCACTTCAATGGTAACATGAAGCCATGGCTTGATATTGCCATGAACCAATTCAAGCCTCTTTGGACCAAGTATGTGGACTATGATTTGGAGTTTGTACAGGCCTGCAATTTCGGAGTCTAAATAAAAACATCATCGTTGAAGCTTCTGTACCGGTAATATGCTACAGATCTAGATTTCAACAAGAATTTCATTTCAGCTTCTGCATTTTCTTGCACGTTAATTCAGGCGACCTTATTCTACGTGGAAGAAAATTAACATATATTCTAGTATAGCATACTTGTCATATTAATTTTAGAATGTATTGTTTAAAAATATTCTGCAAATGTTTAACTGTATAAAATGATCGAAAAGAGTTTTGTTGATAGTTTGCCAAAAGCATCATTTGATTTGGAAGTTAAACCAAAATCGATGGCGTTGTTATTCTACGCTGGGGAAAACAGAATAAGAGATGTTTGATGTTTCATTCTTATCAGAGACGCTTCTACTGTTTTTGATATTAAGTCATTGATTGGTTGTTTTCCCCCCTATCCATGCTGAATGTTAAAGCTCTTATTAACTTGAGTCACAATTCAATTGATTAAATTAAGAGCTTTTATTTTTGTTGATGAAAAAAAAGTATGATTGTGATGGTCATCGGCGGTTCATCTTTTTTGGTTTGAATAGATAGTTGTGATCGGTCAGCTGATGAAGAGAAATTAGAGAGTAGACGGGTTGGAAAAAGTAATGAACAATCTTCAAGAGAAAGAAAGCTAGTGAGAGAGAAATCTCTTCTGGAGTCTTGTGCGATGACTTATATATTGATATTTAGGGTTGATGAGAAGTCGTACGCGTATAGATATGATTGTCGGATAGTAAATTTAGTTTCACATGAGTTGTCAATAATTATGTCAAAAAATTGTAGCTGTAGCTGTCTGTAGGATATATAAACTTTCGAATATTTTGAGGAACTTGGAAGAATATATAGTTCTGGAGGTTTAGAGGGGCTTCGATGCCTTAACACTTGATAGGAGAAGGAATATATAGTTCTTGAAGAATATTTTGTCGATGGTCGTCCAAGACCAATGGAAGAATAAGCGAAGGACACGAGGGTAGCAAGAATCGACAGCCATGAAAGATTGTGGAAGTTGGGGATTTGGCTGAGAATGATATGGATGCATGCGGAGAAGACCATTGAAAGGGTTGTTTCATGTTTGCACTTCACATGTGGCCATGCTTGTGGAAGCAATTTGACATTTCGACAGCCCTGATTTCAAGCAATATACGGGACCATAAAAGAAACAATTAATAAAACCATTGTCGGTGTGAAATTCCAACAATTTATGTGCAGGAGAATTTCAAACTTACACCATCCTAATTGATGCTATGATAGTGTAAGGTCCGCAATAATCGCAATTGCATATGCTATAAACTCGACACGATCTAAAACGCAGCTGTAACAGCAATTTAAACAAGTTTTCTAAAACTTCGATTAATGATGCAGTTCTAATAAAAGTTTTAACCGCGGTAAATTTATATAAGGTTAGTATATACGTACATAATAAGTTTTACAAGTTTTTAGATAATTTAACTAATTAAGTTTAATGATTTTAAATCAAGGATAATTCATTTTTTCGTAGAAAAATCTCATTTCTTACTATTTGTTTCAATCCTTCGTTTTTATTTATCCAACGATTAAAAACATTCTATACTAATATATTTAAAATAATATATTAAGTGAGTTTAATTGATCTTATGAATTTTAATAATCATAAGTAACCAATACAATTAATTTAATCGACACCATAACCAACTTAATCACAAAAATCCAATTGAGCTAACCGAATCAATTGGTTAAATCGAATAAGTTGATATAATAGACTAATACTCTCCTCTAATTACACATGAGAATTGAATCCTGAATTTTATGCTAATATAAATTGATTTCATAATATTTACTGCCACCAAAGCAAAGATTCTACTGATAAAGATATTGCACCTTTTACAAGTACAGCATAAGCTTGGATTATATAGGTTCTTATTGGTAAACACACTAAATTGGACATTATTCAATTTATACAACTTTATATTCTAAACCTAAATTTTAAAATGAAGTTCTCAAACATTACCACCTAAAGGCAATTGTAAAGCTCCGGACGAAGGCGTGGGTTGAGGACAACATCAAGAGGATTCAGCTTGGGTAAGGCTAGCCCCAAACCTTCTTTCATATCCACTGCCATCCCATCCGCCGTCCTAATATGAAATCCTTGAATCAATTTTGCCACCGTCAAGTGAACAACTTGTAGCCCAAACGTGATTCCGGGGCACGATCTTCTACCGGAACTAAATGGCATGAACTCGAAATTTTGACCCCTGACATCAAAATCAGCATGCGTCGTCATAAATCTTTCCGGTCGGAACTCGTCGACGTTTTCCCAAACTCGCGGGTCTCGATGCAGTTTCCAAAGGTTGACAATCAAACGAGTCCCTTTCGGGACATCGTAGCCAGCAATGCGGCAATCTTGCGTGGCCTCACGGATTCCCGTAATGGGACCTGGAGGATATAAGCGTAGGGTTTCCTTGACAACGGCTTGTAGGTACTTGAGATTCTTAATGTCGGATTCTTCAACCCACCTTTCTTGTCCTACGTGGTGATCCAGCTCTTCTTGAGCGGCCTTTAGAACATTTGGGTGGTTAAGCAGTAATGAAAGTACCCATGTGATTGTGACTGATGTGCTTTCCCCTCCTGTCAATGTAAGAATCTACAAAAAAAAAAAAAGTTTGTCTAGTCAGATTCAGACAAAATATGAGATAATATCGTGATTCTTAACGGTATTGAATTCGAACAATTATGTCTCTAGTTTATGCGTTGTTAGTGATTAAGAAGAATTATGAACCGTTACCAATGTTGTTGCTTTTACAATGGTGTCCCGTGTATGCCCTGAAATTACTGTATCCTCCGGCAGATAAGATAACATAACGTCCATGAAATCACTTTCAGAGGTACCCTGATTTTCCCTTTTCCTATTTAGATGTTCTTCGAGCCAAACATTGATTACCGAGTCGAGTTCCTTTGCTGTTTTCTTCATGGAACGGATATGGCATTGAATATCGAGGCATTCGAGGAACGGCAGAGCATCCGCCAGGACGAAGATCCCGCTGAGGTACAACGTTTGCTTTATGGCCTTCTGGTACCGCCACGGCTCGCTGTTTACTTCCGCGTAGTCGTGGCCCGAAAATCGCTTTCCGACGAGCATCATGAGGTTTACATTGAACGTCAAGCGTTCCAGCGCTTCGCTGATCGTCACTTTGGCGATGTTCTCGGCACCTTTTGGTGAACAAAGTCCGTACATATCTTTGATGAATAAATCCATCTCGGAGAAACGTATGTGCTTCAACTTGTCTAAACGATGGCTCGAAAGAAGCTCGACAGTGACCATCTTCCGGATGTCACGCCAATATTCTCCGTACGGGGCGAGTGCAAAGACTGCGTTGTTGTAGCCCATGTGCCGACCGGCGGCGATGCTAGCTCGAGTGGCAAGCGTTCGGTCATTGGTGGTGAAGCAATCCTTGGCGATTTCCCAACTGCTCACCACCAACACTCGGTGGGTTCCGAGTTTGAGTGAGTAGAGTGGGCCGTGTTTGTCCGCCATTGTTGCTAGCCTCTTGCAGAGTGTTTCTTTCCCAGTTAGAAGATGGAGGTGACCGATGAGTGGCAATGAACCGGATGGTTCCGGGATGCAATCTTTCTGGGAATTCTTTGGCTTTTTTCTCGATAAAATATATAAAAACAGCAACAAAAGTACAAACGATAAGATGTAAGGGTAAAGATCCATGGCGGATTATAGGAGGTGTCGACGTTCAAGTTTTATGCTCAAACTATCATTGTTGCTCTACCTATTTATAGCAAAGGGAACCACCATCCCAGTTATACAAAATTTGATTTTCTTTTAAAACAATTGCTACAATTTCATAATTTAAATATATTTTTATATGATTATTCATGCAATTATTGGTTAGTTATATACATGTCAAATGTAAATTCATAGTTATGCAATTATTAATTAGTTTGGTGATTATTATTTCTTGGTTAGCGGACTTAAAACGGTACCGCAATCTGCAAATAAAATGGTACATCTTAATAAAAAAAAATGGCACAAAAAATTGTTACCATCAATGATTTGGATAGACTACCCAAATATGGGGAAACATTATTAAGTATAATAAAAAATCGATAAAAAATTATAATATTTCCTGTTGGACATAATATAAATGGTAATTTTTAACCTTTTTTCGGTTAAAACGAAAAAGTTATATTATTTATAATATTTTTTGTTATCAAACGAAAATGTTATTTTTTTCATAATATTTTTGATTTAATCAAAAATATTAAAATAATACTACGTTCAACAAAAAATATTATATTTTTATCATATTTTCGATTACGCCCCTTTCATGTCGTTTATTAACCTTAAATTATACGGTTATACATTAGAACTTCCCCAAAATATGTGATTATCATGTTTTTCCTTTTTCTTTTTGGCCGAAAGATATTTTGAATCTCAATTTTAAATATATATATCATTTTAATTCTTAAATTTTTTTCTTCTCTTCTAACTTCAAATTTTTAATTTATTTTAACATAAATCAATTGACAAATATTGTCATTATTAATACAAAACTTTTAAGTTTTTTTGGTTCACAGAATGTAAAATTATATTTAGAAATAAAATTATCGGCATGTTATATAACTTAACATATTGCTAGGAATGTTATATTATCTTATTTGGTTTTTTTTACAAGAATGTAAAATTACAATGTTTAGTTAAAGGAATATAAGATAAGAAAAATATATGTTTTGTCAAATTGTCCTTAAGATATATTTTATTTTTTAACAGGTTGAATTCTTAGTATTAAAGTCAAAATATTTACATGAAAGATCATATAAAATATAATTTTCTATTATTTTAATTTATATATTTTTAATAAAATTTATACATAAATAACTTGATATATATTTTATTTTCTTAAAAAACATAAACATACTTACATTAGTGTAATTACATGTTTACTTTTAGGTGCTAACGTATTGGAAGTTATACTTACTTACACCGGTGTAAGTATGTGTCAATTGTTAATTTTTATTTTATTTTATTCATACTTCATGTATGAATTATGCAACAAAAAAATTATATCAAGATATTTGATAAAAATAAAATATTTTATGAAATTAATATATTTTTTTACTTTTTAGTATATGCATCATATTATTTCTTTTATAATACTGTGTTATTTTTTGTAGAATAAAGTTATATTTTTTATACAATGTCTAAATTATATTAATTTTTTGTACATTTAAATTATAAAAACTAAACACTTAAATATACTTAATTTTATATTTTTTTATATATCAACTAAACTAAATTATAGTCATGCATGAACCAACTTTTCTCAGTAACTAAAGGTCGTTGTTATTCTTATAGATCACGAGTTCTTTATCCAATAACTGTAACAGGATGATTGAGCGATTATTATTAAATAATTAATAGTATTTAAAACATAATATTTCATAATCGATTTAATTTAATAAAAAAACTAAATTACAGCCATTAATGAGAACACATATTCATGTTGGAACCATAAAAGAATCTGGGTCCCATATTTTATAGATAAAATTTATTTGTCAACAAAACCAGCGCTCCCCAATAGGAGAGAATAATGCAGATTTGGACAGGCGATGGTTTATTTAAACACGTAGGCAAATTTGGACCTGTGATTCCAGCGTGAAACACGGATTTTCGGCGTTTTTTAAAACAAAAAATCATCGGTGATCGGTATATTTACCGATCTAACACAAATCAAATTATATTTTCCGATCTAACATCCTTTACAGTAAGGCGCGCCCCTGCAAAGCGTTATACGTTGATTTGGCGCCACGTGGGGTAAGACGTCCCCTTGCAACGAGCCTTATGCTGATATTGATATACGTGGGTATAACGCGGCCCCTGGGACGCGTCTTACGCCACATAGGGTATAGCGCGGGTCAGGGGCCGTGCCTGACCTTTATAATTATATATAGCACAGGGCATGTACCGCGCCTTGTATAATTGTTACAACTTTTCTCGGCTATAAATATCATTCTCCCCCGGGTTAAGTTCCTCACATCTCTACTCTCAACTTATAAATTAATACAATAATTCCGTCAACGAGTCAATAATTCAGACAATTTTCTCATATTTTATTCAGAAGTTCGTGCGATTTTTCGTTATAAGATAATTTTGTGATACTTTTTTTATTATATTTATTGTTTATTATGATTATTTGAAAAAATATTATACTAATTGTTGTCAATTAATTTATGTGTTTGTAAAATTAGAAAGCGGGAATATACGTCGAAATAGTTTTACGGTACAGGTAATAATATAAAGTTATATTATTTAAATTATTTACATTTATGTGTAAAAATTTTATTATGTTATATTTTCGTTCATATATTATTTATTTAATCAGCATTGTTTCAGTTTTTTTGCAGATATAATATTACTGCTCTTTTAAACTCAAAGAATGGTGCAACTTTCAGCTATTATTTATTATAATGGTGAAATTCGAGAAGATGAAACCGGCGTTGTTTTTGTATCAAATGAGCGTGTTAAAATATCATTGAAGAGAAACATAACTCTTGAGGAGCTGGTAACGAAGATTTCGAGGAAGATTCATGTTGGAAGTAGTAGAAGAATATTGTTGTTGCAGTACAGATTTCCAACATCATTGTTGCCATTAACTTTTACAACGTTCGAACTTTTGAACAATGATGATGTTGAAATGATGGTTGAAGCTCAAAGTAATTATTTAAACGCTGATATTGAGATATATGCAAATTTTATTCAAATGCGTCGTTCGGGGTCAACCATTAAGCTCCCACTATAGGCTGGCTGAACAAGTTAATCAAGTTGACAGCCCGACGACAATAATGTGTAATGATTTTAATGCCATAATTGGGAGACATTCATCCGCAACTCCTTACGATATGTACCGAGGTGGGTCGGCGAACAATCCGTATGACAACATCGCGTCCAGTTCAAGGGAATACATTCATCTGCAAATCCGTTTAACCTTAATATGGAGATGACATCGACGCAACTATCTGTGCAGTTTCCATTTGACACGATGGCTTCAAGCTCCAGTGGAGGCATTCGACTGCGAGCTTTTTCGATCTGAATGTCGATATGCCTTCCAATTCAAGGGGAAGTCGTGCAAGTAGTAGGTTCTTTGACCTAAATGTGAGAGCATGGAGGAACCATCATCTCCACCAGAAGAACCGCTTCGTGAGCCTGATGCGGATGGTGCTGAGACTAGACTATTCATTCACCCAGAATCACAGTAATTCAACTCCGATGATGATGAAGATGTGGATGAAGTTCCAGCAAATGTGACACAAACTGACCCTCCAACACACATGTATGAAGCTGATTATGGTGCAATGTATAGGTCAGAATTTGCGGATATGCCTAATCTTGGTGACTATGGATATTACTCATCAATAAATAATGGTGAGTTATATTTAGGCATGAAGTTTTCAAGCAAAGAATAAGCGATGATGGCTATAAAAAATTACAATATCTGTAATTTTGTTCAATCAAGAGCCGACCGCTCCACGATAGAAAAATATGTATGCTACTGTGCCCGACGCGAAAATGGATGTAATTGGATGGTTTACACGCAGGTTCTTGCGTATCGAAAAGGAAGAGGAAAAACAACAGATGTGAACTAACAGTATACAACGGTCCTCACACATGTTATGCTGGAGAGGTCAACCAAGATCATCCCAACTTGGACTCTGAAGTGATATGCCAAGCTATCATGCCCATGGTAAAAACAATCTCTTATATAGCTGTTGTTGTGTTGATTTTAACTATACAATCGCAGTATGGGTAAACTGTCTCCTATAAAAAAGCTTGGTTGGCAAAACGAAATGTCATTGTCAAACTTCATGGCGAATGAGATGCATCTTACAACGAACTTCCAGGCTGGTTTAGACTGGTGCGGAGGTTGAATCCTGGGACAATTATGGACTTCGAAACCTCCTATGCATACCATAATGATCGAGTTCTCCGCGATCGATGCCAATTCTACCGGGTTTTTTGGACTTACCCACAGTGCGTTAATGATGTCAAATACAGCAAGTATGTGGTCCAGATCGACGGACTTTCTTGTATGGAAAATACAAGCAATTTTTATTATTGGCAGTTGTCCAAGATGGCAATCGCAACATTCTTCCAGTTGCTTTTGCTCTTGTCGAAGGAGAAGATACAGATTCTTGGGCTTTTTTCCTCCGAAATTTACGTGCACGTGTTATCATGAGGGAAAACATCTGTGTCATTTCAGATTGCGGAGCTAGGATCAAAGAAGTAATGGAGTCTTTGGGTCCAATGTGGCAACCACCCTTTGTCCAATATAGGTATTGTCTCCGACACATTGATGCGAACTACCATAGAAGGTACAAGAAGAATGATGAGCGTCAATTAATTGTGTGCATGGGTAAGTGAAACTGATGTAGTTTGTTTTCTTTCGATCGTTTTAATTTTGCAAAGAAAGCAAGTTAGTAAGTTATACATTTTTTGATCAGGTTACGAACTACTTCCTCAAATGTTTGAATTAATGCTTCAAGATTTGCGGGCGAAGAACGATGAATGATACAATTACATCAGCCTCAGCGATAAAGAAATATGGATGAACGCATATGATGGTGGATATCGATATGGACACATGACGACCAACTTGGCAGAGTCAATCAATTCAACTTTAAAAGGTGCACGTCACTTACCAGTAGCGGTTTAACACCCCCAACCCGAATCCGAGTCTGATGTGTCACATTGA